TAAAGCATGGATCTGAAGATAATGCAGAAAAATGCTCAGAGGATAAGGATAACTTGCCAAAAAGAAAACGCTCTCGGTTAATTAATAGTGTTTTTAGTGATGACGAAGAAAACATTGTTTAATTTATATTAATATGTATCACTTTAAAAAATTTTAATGAAGATATTTATCTTAATTATGAAAATATACTAGCATGTTTTTTAATTTTTGGAACCTAACCCTCCTTTTCGTATTAGTTCTTTGTTTCGTATAACACGGATTCGCATAACACGGCAATTTTTTGGAATGTAACTACAGTGTTATACGGGTTATCTGTACTTGTATTTACTCTCATGTAGAACGAGGTGTGACTTTAAAGATCAAAATAAAGAAATTAATATTAAAATCAAAATTAGATTTATTAATACAATTCTAATTTTATTTCATTTAATCAGAAGTAAAATATCAAATGTATGTAAATGCACACATTGTCCCACAAAAATTACTGACATTTTAAACTTTAAGGAAAAATCTTGTAAAATTGACAACATAATTTTTTCACGTAAAGCTGGACAATCAGGAACCTTTTTTTTTTTTGTCAATTCTTAACAGTCTCCATCGATTACACTTATGAGTTTCTCCGAATTCTGATTTCCGAATAATCATCTGTGTTCACATGGGAATGAAGTAAAACTTATATCGTGCTCCCCTGCGATTTTGGAATTTCAATCTGGAATTCAATTCAAAAGCTTTGCTTTTCTTATTGCTATTCATCTGTGGTAAAATTTACAATGAGTCATTATTGAGAAATATTAGATTAAGGAATGTAATTTAAATAAATAAGATTTGAAAGTGTTTCTGTATTAAAAAATATATCTTCTTACAGAACTAAATTCTAATACTTTTATAGTTATTACTGATCTGTGTTATTTTGAGTTATGTAGTAGTATAGTATTAAATGTCTGAATTTGATGCATTTCATAAAGAATCCATTTTTTAAAATAACTTTGAATTAAAATATGTAATTATATTTGTTTATGTTGATAATTATTAAATCAAATATTGTGATCATTTTTTAGATCGTAGAAAAAATCAAATGAATTTTGGAAATGCAGAAGATTATGAAATCAAGACAATTACAAGTGCACTGAAAAGTTACTTTAGGTAAGATGAATTAATTTAAATGTTATATATTTATGAAATAAATTATTCTGTTTAAATAAATAAGTATATAAAATATAAACTTCAGTAGCAGGTTAAACTTAGATTATATGTGCTGACTCTCATAATTATTTTGTGCATCCTTCCAAGATGAAAATAATTGTTTAAAACAAAAGAGTTGGTTTAAATATCATTTTAAAAATAATTTTGTCACCATAAAATGCCAAATGTTATCAAGATGTGGGTACTGAGTGATTATTTGATGTGCTGTCTGATATATTTGATACCACATCATATTTTTTAAATACACACTTTAATGTATGTAAATAATGGATTTATTAATAGTTGATTATGATTGTTTCCATTATAAATTTTTAAATAGCATTTTTCTTAAAACTGTGTATACATTTTTTATACATATTATTCATATGTAATTCTTATTTTTCAGAAATCTTCCTGAACCACTTATGACATTCAGGTTACATAGTGCCTTTATTACTGCTGCAAGTAAGTGAAAATAGTTAAATTATGGAATGTTTTAAAATATAATTTAAAATATTTGTATTTAATTTATGTAATAAAATTACTATTATCTGAAATAATTATAGATTTGTTTTTAAATGGTGGATTTTTGAATATATTCATTAATAAAGAGTTCTCAAGTTAATGAAAACTTTAAAATAATAAAAATTATACAATAAATCGGAATTAGTATTACTAAACTCTATATGTATTAATATATATATCAGAAACATTTACGCAAATATATAAATAAATGTTTGTACTGTTAAGACTTTACTAAAATATATTACAAAAATACCAATTTTCTTTATGTTAAAGTGTGTTGAATAGAGAAATTAGATTTAAATGGTGACAGATATTTTATTATTGTAAATATAGATTATTGAAATTGTTAAAAATTCAAAATTTCAATATTTATTTATAGAAAATGAAAACAAGATTCAACGGATTAATCTTATACACTCCCTAGTTCATAAATTGCCAAAAAATAATTTCAATATGTTGAATATGTTAATAAAACATCTTTGCAAGTAAGTATTTAAAAATCATACTTTAATCCAAAGCTGTTTGTAATCTTTTTCTGCAAAATAAATAGAAGTTTGAGGAAAAATTTCCCTCTTTTTTTTACTTCAGTATATTTTCCCCACACTGCCATCTCTTTAATTTATTTAATCATACAGCATTTCAGCATTTATATAAAAAATGTGAATATTTTTTTTTTTTAATTATTTTATATTTCTGGTCTATTCTGTCACAAAGAATTTGAATCTGCTCTAAAAAATAGTATGTATTTCTTTTTAAGCATAATTTCATAAGGTTAGAATTTCTTTTTACAGTCTTGTTTAATTATCTCTGCTTATTAATATTGTTAATACTGTTTGAATGTATAATTTTCTCATCTTTCATCAAATAATGATAATAGTTTTAAACATTTTCAATTTGATAAATGGGAGAGAGATTACAAAATTAATTCAAAAAGTGAATAACACTAAAAATCATTTGGGATAGTTGTCCTCTAATAATTTAAATTTTTATATAATTAAAAATGTTAGTAGTTATAAAGAGAATCTACAACTGAAATTATCTTTACTAAATTAGAAATTATTTTTTATTTAATATTGATTAATGTTTATTAAGAAGATTTGTTAAACAGAAATTATTGTTTAGTTATTTGTTATATAAACACAAGATTTAATTGCAAATATACTCATTAGTTTGTAAAATTATAATAAATTTTAAGGTATTTTATGAGTATCAAGTTTTTAGATTTATCTTTTCAAAAATAGTTGACATAATTTAAAACATTGTATAAAAATGAATATTTTCTATATTATCTATGAATACAAATGAAATTAATATGTGAACTTAAATATTTTCATAGAAATCTCCTGGTTTTAATTTTTAAAACAGATGACTTATTTTTTTTCTATGTTACAGTTCATATGTATATGATATAATGTCAACAATTATATAAATGGAACTTTATCCACTTAATATTTTAATCTATTTAATATATTATTCACTTTCATGTGTATAACAGTCTTTTTATTTGCTGTAAAAATATTAATGCTAATAAAGAATTCAATCAAAAAGAAATCAATAGTCTACATCTGATATAATAAATAGAAATTAAGTTTTTGCAAAGAAAGAAAAATCACAACCATAAAATGGCTATAACAATTGAATTTTGGAGATTTAGTAAAAAAATTTCAAAAATTATTTTTCAGGATTGCCCAGTACAGTGATAAAAATTTGATGACTGTTTCAAATTTGGGTGTCTGTTTTGGTCCTACTTTACTCAAACCAGAAATAGAAACAATGGCAGCCATTATGGATATAAAGTTTGGAAATGTTGTTGTTGAAATTCTTATTGAAAATTATGATAAGGTAAGTTTGTTTTAATTAGGATTATTAATATTAATTGTTTTTAAATGTAAATCTCTATTAATAGGACTGAATTCTTTCTTTATAATTACTAAGCAAAAGTTATATATATATATATATATACAGGATCTTTCAAAAAGAATTCTTACATTTTAAGTTATTGTAATTATGTTAATTATTGTCCAAGAATGTTGAAATGTACATTAAAACATTACAAAACTGCCAGTTTCACATTTGCCTATTAAAATTTCACACAGCACATATCTGATTGATACTCAAATTTTTTCTACATTTTGCACCAATATGCTGTAGCATATTGGTGCAAAATGTAGAAAGAATTTGAGTATCAATCTCCCACAGCAGCCATAATTCTGCTGCTCCTGCAGATTACTCATGTTGCACAATGATGACTGATTATGATTTTGCAAACTGCAGAACACAAAATGCCTTCTCTGTTCTGAGTTGCCATTTTTGTTTACAGCATTTCCTAGAGGTGATAGACAACAAGACATTTAAATGCAGATGGGAGATGAAACTCAGAAATTACTCTATTGATTGGTGTGTATTGTATACTTCTCAGTTAATAATTAACATAATTATGGTCATTTAAAATGGTAACATTCATTTTGGAAGACCATGTGTAAATATTGTGTGTGTGTATGCACAATTCATTTTCTAACTCATTTAAAATTTTTCATTAATATTTTAAAAAACTATGTTAACTTGTGACTTCTTCTTACTTAAATGTTTAAAAGATCAAAAGATATTTATATTTATGTCAGAAGTGTACGTGAGTAATAATAATACACAAGTGCAAAATGATAAATAGTAATAAGTTATAAATATTACGTAAAGATTATGGATGACAAGAAAAAAATGCTTGTAAACTATTACATTAATATATTCATATTTGTAAAATAAGGTTTACTTTGCAGATATTTTCTACAGTTCCAGAAAATCATAAAAGGCCAGATCTACCTTATTATTCTTCTCCTAATGCAGTCAATCAGTCATCCAATTATATACCACTGCCACATCAAGAATCTATGCATAATATTCGCAAATCAAATATGGATTCAATGGATCAGTCATTAGAATCGGCCAGAGTTCAGAATATTCCTAAAATTCATTATTCTAATGTGTGTTCATCTTGCCCATCTCCTTATTTAAATGATGGGAATTATTCTTCTCAAAGAGGAATGCTTGCACATCCTGCATATGTAGTTTCACCTACTCAACCATTACCTGTCAATCATTCTGGAAGCCAGTCTCATTCTGTTCAGTCTCATATTCCTGTGGATAGAGGAAGATCTGTTGCTGTTTTTAATCCAGTTTGGAATGGTAAGAATAACTTAAACTAGATTCAATAAAATTAATAAAAATGAGTTGTTATATTAATTTTAATTGTTTATTTTATACAAAGTTACATAAAATTTTGATTTAATAGTAATGCAAATAACAAACAGTATGGCTCATATTGTATGATCCAAATTGATTGATGTCAAACACTACATAACATGATATTTTGTCTTGTTTTAATTATAAAATTTAATTTCATTGTCTTATATTTATTTCTCTTGTTATGCTGAAAATCTTTGAAATCTGTTTATACCATAAACTTTATTTTTTCCATCTCTTCAAGACATTCTTTCTGTCATAATTAACAATTTTGAAATGTCCGGCATACATTGATATTAGTTAGGCTTTTGATTCTGTACTTCCTAATTCACTACTATTTATATTATGCAATTACTTTGATACACCTGTTTTTCATTCTTGATTGAACAATTATTTCCTTTACATGCACATAAAATTAAATCAGACAATTAAGAGTTTCTGGACTTTTCACCTATAATATGGAATCTTGCAGAATACCACAAGGTTCCATATTAAATAATCTTTTCTTCTCGACTTATATAAGCAATATCCTCAAGTTCAATCCTCTGTTAATTCAATGTACTGTCATAATTAGTAACCTCTAGTGCCACATGTCTTATTTCTGTCACTAATTCCATTTTAATGATTCTATTAGACCAATATTCTTAGTAGCAAAAATTTTGAGAGATCAAGTTAGCTCAGTCTTGTTAGTCTATTACAATAGGCTCATAAGGATTTGGATAAAAATTCCAGAAAAAGTTATGCAGCACTCTTTCAAGAAATGTTGCATTTCTGATGCTTTAAATGACACTGAGGATGATTATATATGGGATGTGTGCATAGAATCCAGTGTTGATTCAGAAGAGTTAATGCAGAAGCCATATAGAAAGTAGGTGCATCTTAGATTCAGTGGCCTCTTATATTCAAGTAAATATGGTAATTCTTACATAAATCATTTTTCAGTTTTCAAAACATAAAATTGTTTAAAAACATCTTGAAAATTTATGTAATAGATGTAAACTAATGTAAAACCACAGATAAAATTTTATCCTAGATTTTATTAGAAGAAAAAGAAATAGTTGTAGGTGTAAAACAAAATTTACTCAAAAATTACACATTAGTTGCAAGTACTGTTATAATTATCACATTATTGTCATCAGGTGAACAGAAATAGAATAACATTCTGTTTCTGTTGTCTGATGGAGAGATAATTATCAAAAGTACTTGTAATTATTGTGTTATTTTTGAGTAAATTTTTAGTTATCACTGTAAGATATACTAATTAGAAGGAAAAACTGTTATTTTTCTAGTTATTTTATCCTGGGTTTTAAATATTAACTAAAAGCTATTTTATTCTTAATGCTGCTCAATAGTAGTTTATAAAATTACTCTCTTAAATTTTCAATATTTTATAAACAGTAAGTTATTGAATGATTGATAATGGAATATTAAAATTTGAAACTAAATTTATTTGTTGATTTGAAACCATGTTGTACTAAATTTTTGAGAATGTTAAACACAAGATCATGTTATTAATCAATCACATGTAGAAATATTGTATCAATTAAATACAGATGGAAAAGAAGCCATGTGATTGATTAATAACACAATCTTGTGTTTAACACTTTTGAAACTAAATATTCACCATAAAAATAGTTTTCTGGTAATGATTCAAGGAGCATGACTATTTATTTTTTAAATATTTTTTAACTAAATATTAAACATGCCATTTTGTATAATTTTTATTAGATAATCATTCTCCTTCGGGTGCAAGTAGTACAGAATCCTTGTCAAATCCTCAAGCAGTTTCACACACTGTGAATAATAGCAATCGTACACATTCAGCACAAGTTTCATCAAGAATGACTACTTCATTAGGCAACCATAGTGTCTATATTCCTTCTGATAAAATCCATGGAACTGAGAGAACAGAATATCCTCAGAACAACATCAAGGAAAATTTTGATTTACAAGAACTTCATGTTCGCAGTAATGTTGTTTTTATTTTTAAATAATTATATTTATATAAATGTTAGAAATAATAATTATTAAATGTACATTTCTAATATATTTATTCCACTTTTATGAAAATGGAATGAGTCTGAAATATCAGATGATGTAATATCAAAAGATGTCATCAGTTACAAATCTATACATATCACTAATATGTCATTATTACAGTTTCCAATTACATTTACATTCATTTTTTTGTGTTTTGGCAAAGAATTGATGATTCAGAATAAAGAAGAATTTTTGATGAGAGTTTTTTTTAACTCCAACTTTACCCTATGAGTACTAAGGTTTTTTTTTCTATATTCATTGTGGATTTGGACAGGTTTACAAAGGGAACAGTCGATTGAGGGACACTATAGCCTGCTCATGAAAATTTCTTGCAGAATTTGTAGATCCAGGACTGAATCCAAGCAACTGAGTAGTAAGCCGATGCCTTATAACCTCCAGCATGGCCATCTGTTTATCAATTTTTTTTTTATTTTTTATTTTAACTGTTAACAAAAAAATGAACATAGAATACATTTTTATTTAAATCTATTTTATTTTAGCCAATTTTTACAGATATTGCTTAACAGCGTTTGATGACACCTCCATAACAAACTAAAATATTAAAATGAATGTAAAACAGACTAATATAGTATAATAAATAAAGATAAAACATTATAAATTAGGGTATAAGTGTGTTTTACAAAGTTGTTTATATTTACAAAATTGTAGATGCAGTACATCCTACTGAAAATATAGCAGGATTAAAGAGAGTTCTTTTGGGACACACTTAAGCAAAAAGAAGGAGCATATAAACAATTAGAATAGCATGTAGCTCTGGCCAGGACATGAAATTGCATTTGGTCTGACATAATAAGTCCATTGAAAATTTAGAATATCTTAGTCTGACAGAATTTTATATTTTATGAAATAAGTCAATATTTTTTAAACAAAACTAACGGTTACCTTCTGGTTAAATTTTGTTTTCCATGCTATTTGAATGCTCATTTAATAATAAAGTATATTAGTATTTTTATGAAAATATCTTAAAATACATGTACAATGGTGCCTTGACTAAGAGTTTAATTTGTTCCATGGCGGAACTTGTAACTCAAATTACTCGTATGTCAAATCAATTTTCCCCATTGAAATGAATTGAAATGGCATTAATCCGTTCTGTATCCTCCCCAAAACACCGCAATTTTTTTGTTACATGTTTTTAAATAAGAAAAATGTACAGTGGGTGATCGGTTAATGAACATAATCCGTTCCAAGACTTTGTTCGTTAACCGATTATCGATTTACCATAGGTTTCTATGAGAATTTGATTCTTTCCGGAGACCCCCAAAAATAAAAAAATATATACTTTCTTACTATGTTTATTTATATGTAATAATAAAAATACATATATACACAGTCTTGCATTTTTATTAGTCATGTTTTTTTTTTGTTTGAAAGGGTTAAAGAATCTGTCTAATGTCGATTGCTTTTCTCGCTTCGTCAGGATTTTTTGTAAGTAATTAATAGCATTGCAATTGTAGAAATCTCCAAGCCTCAACCTGGTTTGAATGCCATTTTAAGACCGTTGTTCTGACATCCTCCCACTTCTTCAAAGGATCTTTAATAACAGATATTGACATTAATCCACTTTTTCTCACATAACTCGGCGAGATATTTTTTCAGAATAAAACATATCTCGCCGAGTTTCTTGGTGTTCTTCATTCAAGAATTCTTCGCGATCTTCAGTCGTCAGATAACTTTCGGATTCCATTATGAGCTCTTCTATGTTCTTTATTTCTCAGATATGATTTTTGTTACTCCTTTAGCTGCTTGGGTCTTCTTGATTATACAGTATTTTTCTCAAATTAGATTGAACTGCCGCATACTGTAGACCTGTTCAAGCCACACTGCCCAGCAACATCACAAATCTTCTGCCCACTCTTTAATCTTTAGTATTATACTCTCACCTTTTGAAAATAAAAACCGACGCAAAACTTAACGAGTACCTGCCCGACAGTCTCTCTAATACATAAAAGAATTGTTTTGTCAGAAAAATAAAAGGCTGGAATTACAAGAGAGAGTTTCAAAGTTCAGAGGAATACTATCCGATTGGTATATACCGGCTTGAGCGGCGATGTCGACGTCTCCCACACTCCGAAAAGTTTCGAATTGTTGCCCGAAGACAAGGAAAGTCCAATCGATATTCATTATTTTACGCTTCTTCTTATGTTTGTTCTGTGGGCTGTTTGTTATCCGATCATGTGTTCGTTGTTCGAACATAAAAATCTTTTGCGAAAGTGTTCGTTATCCGATTTGTTCGTTATCCGATCTGTTCGTTAACCGATCACCCACTGTACTTATAAATAATGAATATTGTATAAAACACAATAGAATGTACTGCAATAAACTGGTTTTGCAGATGAACTAATGCCTACGTCACTTGATCGTGTGTTTTCTGTAAGCTAGCCTGTCAGACATTGGAAGAATAACAAAAATGACAAAATTACAGCAGTTTTCCATTTTTTCTCTTAATCTATGGTTTGCTGTGCCAACTAGTGGTGGGGTATCTGAAGTTGGCTTGTAACCCAAATTTTAGCTTTCAACTCAAAGCAAAAAATCAACCGAGAAACGGCTCATATCTCGAAAAACTCGTAAGTTGAGACACTCATAAGTCAAGATACCATTGTATTTGCTTTTATTTAATTGAAAAATTAATTTTTTTAAATAGATAAAACATAGATTTGTCAGGAGAAATCAATTAATAATTAGGATACTGAAATTATTTTAAATTTATATAATGTGTAGATTACTACTGTAATTCAAAATGACTTTCATATACTTAATAGAGTTTATCTTTCTAACATTAATATCAATGAAAATGATGGACTAGGTGGCCAAACGGTTAAGACAGCTGCCTACCACTCTGGAAATCCAGGATCAAATCCAGATGGGTTGAAAACCTCCAAGAATTTATTGAAGTGGTTTGTCTGGATATATTAGTCCCATCTTTCACTATCCGGCCACCCCACTGTGATCTTGGGCAAACCATAATGGGCTTGCTAAAAAAAAAAAAAGGGGGCCTTCTTAGTACCCACAAGGTAGAGTTAAAAAAATCTGTGAAATGTTCAGAAAAATTTTTAATGTCAATAATGACATTAGTTGTTCTAATAGTCAGTATTATTACAATACAAATATGACAGGCTCAAAATAATATAGAAGCTGTACATTATATATTTTTATTCTATTACTAATCCATTATTAATTTAAATATCACTATTATATCCATTTTACCATTTACTTATTTTATACATAAACTTATGAGAGAATGATTTATGAATTATTAAAATACTTGTTTTTGTAGATACTCAAGAACATTACATTAATAGTGGAATTCCAAATTCCGGCATGTGAGTATATTTTACATATCAAATTCGTTTATTACATAAATATATTTGCAAAATAACAGAAATAATATATTGTAGAACGGCCAAAACATTATATGCTTGTGTGGGAGAAAATGAATCAGAACTGTCTTTTCAACCTAATGAAATTATTTATAATCGTAAGTAATATTTTACCTTTTTAAAAAAGAAAAGTTTCCAATATTTTTGATAAAATTATATCTTTTAGTTCGCACTTCAAATGAACAAGGATGGTTAATAGGAATTATCAATGGACGAGAGGGAATGATTCCAGCCAACTATGTAGAATTACTTTAAGAAATTTTCAATGTAATTGTGATAGACTAGACTACTACAATTTTATCAAAGACTTTAATAATGATTTATTATTTTATTTTATTCAACTATAGTTCTATAAAATCAAACTATATATATATAAATGATTTAACAATTGAGATAATTTATTTTTAAGATTCATTTAATGATATTTTCTGGCCAGTAATTCCTATTCTTATCTAAAATATTTTATTCAAACTTTTAGAATTAGAATAAATTTATAAAATTATATAGTGCTATTGTTAAAATAAAATAAAACAGAGATTTGTTTTCAGTATTAATTATTTTTTATAATGGTACTGTGTATTAGTCTCTCTTCAATGCCATATTTTTTTTTGTAAACTGTAAATATTGCTTTATATACAGAAATTAATTTATTCTGTAAATATTGTACTATAAAGATAAAATTAATTTCAATATTTTTTTTTGTAGATGTTATAGAATTGACAAATACATAATACTTTATATAGGAAAGATTAGCATGTATAAGTTTTTATCATTTTTTTAAAATAAAGTTTTATTCTAACTGGAGATTGAACTGTTTTAAAGTTAGTTTTATGTACTGATCCAGGATTAAAGCAATTGCCTGTTGTTCTTGAGGACCCAGAATCAAATGCAGGTGAGCAACCCCAGGAATTTTTCATGGGTTGTTTGTCCTGGATATGTTGGTTCTGACCCTTGTCACCTGGTTGAACCTGTGATGGGTATGAGAGAAAAAGATCCTCTTAGTGACCACAGGACAGAAAGAGTTTTAAAAAAAAGTTTTTTAAGGCCCAGGATTAAGATGATATAAGTACATTATTGGCCAGAAAATATGGTAAATACAAAGCACTATATAATTTTTCAATATTATAGTACAAATGAAACCAAAGTAGTCTTTCAGTCGAATATTCACTTTCTTACATTTCTTTTATCGAATGATAATAATAGTTACTGTCATTCCATTATTTAGACCAAACTGAATACAAAAAATTTTTTACTTGTGTAATTGTTTTTAATTGTATGCTATATTTTAATAAGCATTATAATAATTTATCATTTAACATTCCAGATTTATGGTACTTGCAATACATATATATATATATAATCTTTAGATTATACAATAAGAGAAATTCATGTATAACAAATAATCTGAAATCTGTTGCTTGTAGCAATCAGTATAATAAAGTATAAAATTTTTTTATAACTACGTTCAGTTTAAAAAATGTGAAATTGTGACAATTGTTCCTTACAATTTTCTCATTAAAAACCAATTATTCTAATAATTTTTTGGTTTTATCAGTTTTAATGTTTGCAGATTTCAGATAATAAAATTATAAAACTGTTATTTAATTTGGAAATATCATCATCTGGGATAAGCTAATTCTACAAAGTGCATTTTACTGTTACTGAATAACTTTAATAGGCTATTTGTAATTATAAAAGATACATCCGATAGCTCTTATCAAGTTAAAATAATATTTTCTGTCTTCTGCTTGTAATTTATTTGATAAGATTTAGAAATTTGTTAGTCAGTTTTTTTCTATGCTATATTACATAAATATGACCAAAGAATATTTATAAGATGATTTTATATCGTGCTCTTGGAGCAGATTATTATTACAAGAATTAAACTGAAAATTTCAGATAAAAGAACATATTATATATTAAAAAATAATGCTTGAATAGATATTAAGGATTTATATAATTAAGAATGACCCGAAATTAGTGAATGCTGTAATGGTTTTATATACCAGTATTTTCATTATTTGTATGACCATATTATTTAATGGTCTGTATAAACTAATGGAGTTTTCAATAACTGTATATACATTATATATATATAATTATATTACTTTGCTAAATTTGTATTTTATTCATTTTTTATATATATATATATTGAAATTGTTGATAAAATTATTATTATTATTAAGCATAGGCAATTCCCAATGCAATTTGCAAATTACCTTGATAGAATAATATTTGCTAAATATTTTGTAAAAATGTTGAGGATTGTTAATATAGGCCATAATGTAATTTTAAACATAAAATTAAAATAATTTATTGTTACTATTTGTGTTAATAATATAGTGTGTTTGCTTTAAATTCAAGTGCATTAATTTATTAGAATTTAGAGATATTTCATTCTTCCATTCATCTTGATAATTTTATTTTCGTATGGTTTCTTTGAAATAATATGGTATAATTTGTTTAATGCACATATCAAGAAAAAAAAACACCATCTAAGGAGCCAAAATACATTTAAACAGTACGAGAAAGTATCTTATTACACATCGCATGCCGAGTGTTTCTTCAATTCCTGGACTGCCATTTATTTTGATTATGGTAATTAATCCTAAAGTAAACTAGTCAAAAATTCAGGGAAAAGTATTGCATTGTAATTAGGAAAAAAATAATTAAATAACATGATCTATACAGTTAATTAAAATTAAATATCGCATATGTTAATGCAAAGCAATTATAACTATTCTCACTGAAAAATTATTAAATCTGTAGCTTTCTTGAAATGTAAATCTAATATAACACTAAAATTATAGTGAAAAATATTTTTAGATTAATTTGCATTATTTTTTGTTTGATACTACCTCAAAATTTTGGGATAATACAAGTTTATTGTTGATTTTTATTAAATAATATATGGCATTAATCCACTAATTAATTATGTCCTCTGTGAGAAACGATTGTTGAAATTTTATATGAATTAACCATATTAAAAGTGGAAACAATAAAATTACCCCCTTAGAACATTAATAAAAATACAAAATCTCGACACATTTACCATAACTTAACTATTTAATATAATACTTTTGGTATTACTTTTGGCAAATAATACTTTTGGTATTAAAGCAGAAGTACTGTTATGAGCACTAATGAGTACTTTCATTTATGAAACTTATCTCTTTCAAGACGAGACTCTCAATATCACATTTGAAGAATAAATTTCAAATTGTTAGAATTTAAGAGTCTAAAATAATTTCTCAGTTAAAACTGAAGCACTGTTTTGGACTTTTAAATTAATAAGAACGAGTTAAAAGTTGACTGAATCTCTGGAACTTAACAATTTTTTTTAAAAATGTATAATTCAATTTATACGGTATGTTCAAAAAATGGTAATCACTATTCTTATCGTCTTAGATGTGATAACAAGTGGAAGTAATTGTGCTGATTTCCGAACAATCTTGTTTTCATCCGGGACACCAAATGTTTTCTTAAATTTCGCTAGAATATTGCTAACAGCTTGATGCGAAGGCTCCAGAAGGTCTGGATGGTGACAGTGGAATTCCTGTGCACATTCTCTTGCCCTGTGAGTGTCTCCACACAATAACACAAGCTTCACTCACTTTTCAGTGGTTAGCATGATTACTTCAGTTTGTTATTGCATCTAAAGCAATAAGAATAGTGATTACCCCCATTTGGCAGGTGACTTTTTGATCACACTATTTGTGATAAATTTTTAAATTGTATTTTATTGAGAGTCATAATCATGTATTTTCATTCCAGTACTTAATTTATTTTAAATCTTACTGAAATTATATTTTAAATTATAGCTCAATTCTCATAAATTAGTTTCTCATTTGGGGATTTCACAAAATTTATTTGGTTATTTCACTGATTTTTTTTTTGTGAGCTTTGTTTTCAGTTAAAGAAATACTCTATATTATTCTATACACAAAACATTTAGATGAAACAATCTGATGCATTTATTAAATATTAAGCCAAATATTAAATGTAATCATAAAGCAAAATATTTTTAGTTCCTATTACAAAGAGTATATATATCATTGAATAGTTTCTTACTGTTTATATTAATGAACAACTTGAGTTTATATGATAACTGATTCATTATTTATTGATTAATATGTTGACTGTCTAAAAACTTTTTAAATGCAAAGGGTTTTAATTCACATACGGTTAAGCAAAGATCATTAAATAGTAATAATATCTTCAACTGGTACTTAACATTTTTGCTACTGTGTAACAGTTTAAAGATGAAATATAATTATAAATCAAATTTTTAAAATACTTAAACAGCCCTTCCTCAATTTTTTCTAAGTATAATTAAGCTACAGGCATCCAAAAAGTTACTGTGCAGTGGAAAAGGTTTAAGTAGTTTTAATAAGTGAAGATTTACATATAATAATGCAGTTTCCCCTACAGCAAATGCTGGAAATGTCCCTTTAGGGCCAGAAAATGTCTGCATGCGATGATACATATTGTTAAACACATTCTAGAAGGTAACAGGAATAATTATTTGATGTGTTGAATAGTCACCATCTTCAGTTCCTCCAGAATATGCGCATTGTTCTCGCCTATCCCTTTGGTGCACCCCAGAGATAAAAGGTCCAGAGACTAGATTCTGTGGGAAATTACACAGTAACTTTTTGGAGACCTTGTACTAAGCTTCTTACTTCTATATACATATTCCGTTTTTAATAAGCTCCTTACAGATTGTCTTATCTCTCATATATTTCTTCTCCAATGTTATCTTTTATCATCATCATCATTGTCTATCTTCTCTTTTGCTTAATTCCTATGTCCTCCTACAAACTTCTCTTCATAAATTTTGCATGAAAAAATAAGATAATTATTTTTTCTCACATTTGTACTATGTGTACATGTAAATATTTAGCATAATTGTTGTATTTTTATAATATTACAAGCAGGTGAATCAGTCAAACATTGAATTATTAACGTTTCACATAATGCAACAATTTGTTGAAACAGTCAACATTTTAATAAATAAAGTCAAAAGAAGAATTTCAATCTTAGGAATATTTTTTATCCATTAATTAAACTTATTTTCATAATCTTACATGCTTCATTTTAAAATTTAAGAAAATGTGTCGTTTCAAAGCTTTGTCTCTAATAATTGCGGCAGGAAAAAATTTAAATATTTAAAAGATAATAAAGTGTAACGAAACGTCGAGAAATTTATATCAATATTATTACGGAACTTACATTTGACTCAATCGAATCTTCAAAAGTTTAAGCGGATGACCTGACTAGGTATGTCATACTCCACTCTTCTCTGTCTGCCCCATTGCAGGCCTTGTCAAGAGTTATGATGTACACAAATTTTAAGACCCTCTTAAGGGAAAAAAAGTTTTGAAAAAACTAAATAAATAAAATTTCTATGCTTGAAATGATTCTTTTCTGTAGTAATTTTACAATAAACTTTCTTTAAAAAAAATGTTCAGATGATTTCCTTCTAACATTTTATACAGTTGTTCTGTATTATATAAATTTGTATACATTAGATATTTAAGAACTTTGATGAATATTGTAGTTTTAAAATAATTAGCTACTTTTGTACATAATTTTCAATGTTTTCTATATTATATTCATATTTAGTGCAATCGTCAAATAAAAATTGCAGGTGTCGAATCACGTGAAATTGTGTAGATTCGTAGGAAAACTGTAGTCACGCGATCTTGACAGTTTTTACTTAATCAAAAGGAATAAAAATTCCGTGTAGTAACCGAAGAACCATTTAAAATGAAAAGAAATACCAGTTTTATGCTATAAAACAGCTTGTATTTATTTCAAATATCAAATATTTTGGACTGTTTATCGTTAGAGCATCATTAGGAAAAAAAAAAGACTATAAACAAATGTGTTAGTTAATGATTACCAGTTTTATCAATAGTTATAAAGTTGTTACTCTGGTGTTCATGTTTATTGATGTTACAATGTTGTTGTGGAAGCATTATCATTATTATTTTCAAATGATACTTTAAAATGAATGAACAGTCCAGAAGCATTTAATAATAAATATAAGTTCTTTTAAAGCAAAAAAAAAATTATAGAAATAAAATAATTAACATTTCTAAGCATTTAATTGTATTATGCATATATGTGTTTGTGTATATATATATAAATAAACTTTGTTTTTTAATTAAGGAAACCTTTAAAGTCAATAATAATCTGACTTATTTGCACAAGGTTTGCTCAAAAATATGGTGATGACAGAAAATACTAGTGCCTCCTCCATGTTAAATATAATTATTGTTGCCTTGTTAATTAATGTATTTTATTAAACAATACTATGTTTTTATATCAGTTAATTAATTCATATGGTGTTTATAAAAGAGGTATTCTTTATTTCCAACTATATATATATATATATAAAACATTTTTTAGTAATGATTTCACAGCAATTTTGAGTTTAATTTTTAATTCTAAATAAATAATTGCTTTATATTACTATTTCATTTGTTTTTTCTATGGTGTTTATCAATTGTCATTTTTTTCCTTTTTGCCTATATAGAAGCAATAAAAAAAATGTAACAAAAATGGTTTGAATAAATATAACATTTAAAATAAAATATTATTTAATTTATAATAAAAATCTAGTTTAGTTAGTTGTTATTTTAATCGTATTCGATTAATTTACCAACACAATTTAAATGAAGTTCAGGGGAAAAAATATTTCAGTTTTTGAACTGACTGTCTCTTATTAAAAGTTTAATTTGAGGCCAGAAACCACAATTGACGATGAGGACAATGGCTTTATTTGTTGATTGCATAGAAAGGTTGCTATTAAGCTACTTTTATTTACTTTCAGTGCTCCAACAACAATGTAAGGGTCAATACCCTTAGGCTACATGCCCATCAAACAAGGATAAAAATTCCATTTAAGAGGCTCTGAAAAAACATATTTAAAAACTTTAAAACAAGGAACAGAGATAAAATGGATGTCTCTTACATCTTTTACATATGTTCATGCTCACACCAGTAGTCAATCCTGGAGCCAATCTTAACTCTTGATCCTTAGTTGCAAATGCAGCCTTCGATTTACTGAATTTTCTGTAAGAACTGATCATTCCGAAACTTATGAAATGCGTGCGTCTTGTCAAACTCCCATATTTGATAAGTTGCCATTTAATAGCTATGGACATGTTTTAGAATCTATCTCAATTTTACATTGTAAAAATACTGAAGATGGAATAAATGGACTTGGATAGGAAATTCAATAAATTAAACATAATCATTATTTAAAAGAATTATTCAAATTACCAGTTTTATTTGAATAGTAACAACATCCCATCTGTGGGCATACAAATCAAGGGAGCAAGGTAGCAACTGGGCAAAACAAGGGGGAATCGGGGTGGAGCAAGCAAGGACAAAAATTCAGAGGAGGCAAAACGGATAAAAAATTATCAGTGATGGCAAATTAAAAATTTGTACTTGTATTTTTATTTGTGTAAAATTTCTGGCATATCAGTTCCTTCTTTCTCTTAACCAGTATCCTCCTATGCCCATAATCTCATTCATTGAAACAGCCATCCTCAACTAGTAACCGCAAAGAAAATATTCATTTTAAATTAGTGGCTGCAGCTGTTAATTGTTCTATAATTTGTAACAAAGACTTTCTAAATAAATTTATTTAAAAAAATATAAATTATATGAAAGCAGTGTATTTCATATAATTTATTGTACTTTGCTCATCTGGCTACAAATCAATAAAACTGTCAACCTGCCAGTATGGGGAAACCAGGTTTGAGTCTGATCTTCAAATTTTCATGAGTGTTTTGACCCACATTGCATAAGACACTGACTATCCCATTGTGGAGAAAGTCCAGAGGGATATCATTCTTTGGCACATCACTCCTGTTGTGTTGCCTTATTCCGTCAATTTAATCCAATCCTAGATTTTATAAAATTCTTTTTAAATATTTATATTTACTTATTATTATTAAATCTTTCTCTGAGCAGTTTTGTAATGGAAAGAATTAAAAAAGAAATAAGTTTTATAGCAAAGTTTGAAACTCTAGTATCTCTCCAACGTCAAGAAAATCTCTTTCAAAAAGTTTCAAAAAATTCAAATCTAACATTCATGATTACAAAAAGTTATAGAATTTGTATAAATCAAGATAATGTTGTTAGTGAAATTTTAGATGCAATTATAGAAAAATGAATAAGTCAAGAATGTTGCACACATTTCCAATAGTTCAGGCATGTTGAAAATGTGTACTGCAACCAAAAATGAATTGACCAGTCAATTCATATGTTTGGTTGCAGTACATAATAAAAACTTAATAATGTATCTATGAATCAGAACATTTAGAGCGTATAATCTGTTGAAATTGATAAGTGCATGGTGAATCCATGTATCAATATTTTTCTTGAAATTGCTATCTGCATACTTTTATACAGTGTAAATCTTCATTACGAGAAGAATTTAGTTGAAATATTTTGACAGCATCCACATTTAAATACAATAAAACTCGTTGACGTGTTCCACAGATTGCAGCGTGCTGTTCCGAATTATTTAGTACTGTTTGAGTAAATTTTTTCTATAGAAAATTAAATTTGTTGTCATTTTCATTTGTAATAACGAAAATTATATATATATATACAGTATATATATATAACTTTTAAATTAAAGCGTAATTTGCAGTTAAATTGAATACTATAAAGCATAACTTCATTGTAAATTATTATGAACAAATGTTTTATTGTCAAACGAGAAAAATTTTCACTAAAACGAAACATTGTTGAAATATTCTTCAATCGAATTGAAAATCGCAGGAATGGGACATCATGCCGATTACGAAGAATATGACGAAAAGGATTGTCGAAATGATCAAGCGTCTTGGATCGAAGATCTGAAAAAGAAAAGCCCCAGGACTTTATTCCGGAGGTGGTCCATCCTGTCCCATTGTGAGCTTGGCCAAACCCGTAATGGGCTTGCTGCTAAAAAGGCCATTAAAGCCTTTCCAAATAATTGATAGTGAGATGCTAATATACATCCCACCAAAAATAATCATCAAGTTAAAGAATGGAAAAGTTAATTCCTGAAATTCAGAATTTTATTGTTGAAGAAATTGAGAGTTTTGAAGATACCTGTGTTATTTTTCGCATTAAAATTATATATTTTTTTTTCTTTTAGGAGGTAATTCAAAACGCCCAAGTTCTTCTAAAAATTTTTAGTCTTTGCTGTTAACTCTCTTGTTAAAAATGGTACCCTTGGTGCTTTCTAATAACTCAACGTTGGCGAGTGCCACACAGTAATTGATGTGAAATTATATAAAGTAAATCCATCAAAAATTTGTGTGGGGGACTTGTGATTAATAAAAATAAATACACGGTAATAAAGTATTCAACTCGGTTAGGTTTGATTTATTTTTATACAACTATGCGACACGCGTGCGATCTGCCAAGAGGATTCCTCCTGGGAGATCTTTCTAAGGAAAACGCTCCTATTTAGATGTACGAACGTGAAGAAAATCCGGTAAACTTCACGTGCCAGGCACCAGTGTTCGGTGGTTTTCATACACTCGGCCACTGGGGACACCAAGCAATTAGGAACCTTGTATTACATTCACCAATAACAGAGGATTCAAGTCGCCATCACGAGTGACGTCATGAGCATGAGCAATTGTCCGGCGCCATCTTTATGATTGGTTTACGTTTTGTGTTTACGCGTGCTTTAGCTGGAGTTCTTGCATTGTTTATTCGTCGCAAATGTCACTATGGTAAATTGTTTCGTAATGCTAGTTCACTCAAGAACAAAGGAACGTCATTTTTAAAATTCCAGGCATTATTTGTCAACAAGGACCCCCAAACCGAGGAGCTTTTACGACTAAGGCAATTTGCATGGCTCTGGAAAAGTAACCAGAAAAATTTCAATACGAATAAGTGAATATCAATACAAGAATTTGTCAGAAACATTTCATTTCAGGTAAGCAATAACATTAGATTACTAGTTAATAAATGATATGATAATCGTGCAAAAGTTTATCTAAAGGTGTACAGCCGGTTACATAAATCTCTTTGTTTATAATTTTAACAATAGTAGATTTTAGTTCGCATAGATAATGATTGTGTTTATTTTTCACCTTTCAGTTTGTTTTCTTAGTCTGTTGTCACAAATATACAGTAGAATTAGTATTAGTGTTAAGCAAAGTTAATCGCTTAGCAGATGAAGAATTACAAATGCATTTTCAACCAATTGCCCTTCCGGTCTAATTTACATAAATAAGTGTGTGTATGTTTAAGATATAAACCAATAGTTTCCATTGTTCGTTTACAAATATCTAACTTAGGTTATTTTGGTGAGTAACGTTAACATTTCTTTAAGATATTATTTTTTTTACATTAGTAACAAATAATCATTTCATAGTAACCTAAAAGTTGTTCCTGACAAATTCTTATTATTTATATGTAACATACCATAATGATAAGTTATTTTTAATAATAATATATTAGTGAAAAGGTTTTTTTACCCCAATGGAAACCATTCCTTATTTTATGATGATTTATCACCAGACTGGGTCCAACATTATACATAGGATAGGAGTGGCCACAATCCAACTGCATATCAGGAGCGTTAGGAAAGAGCACATGATCAGGAGAAACACTTCCACTTGTAAGATAGTTATGGGCCTCTAAGCTTTCATTTGTGAAAGAGTTTAGTAATTTGTCGTCAAAACCAAATAGTTTATGATGTCATTAAATTCTACTTCAAGTCACAACTCGATTTATAACGAAGATGCTAGCTTCGTGGGGTCGACACCCGGACATAATGAAACTGTTCATATAAAGCAGCATCTCGTTCTGCGAGAATAACCCGCCACAAAAGCATCTTTTTTAACCTCGTCCACGATATAAAAATACTACAGTTCTATTAAGTTTAAATTGAAAAAAATGCCGCCAACCTGTCAAATAACCACCCGCAAGCTAAGCAAGCCGAAGCTAGACCACAAACATGGCGAAGGGACGGAGAAAACGTGCGTTTTATCACGTGAAATGCGATCTTGAAACCTCTATCCACCATGATGTGAATTGAAAAAGATGAAATTTGAAACTTACCTCTTCTTCAAAGCTCTTAATTTGCATTTGCGAATCGGGAAAGAATTCTTCCTGCATGAAATCGTTTTCTTTGAAATTTCGTAATGCATGGCCAATCGTTAAAATATTAATTACATCATCGTGAAGCGTAAACATCAATCATCGAAGTCTTACCAGAATACTACTATGAATATTTTTTAATTCTTCAAGTTCTTCTTGCATTTCGTTATTTTGGAAACGAAGTTGTTCCAAGTCGAGGAGGTCTTTGAACTTTAGGATATTTAGTGATAAATGAAATAATCTTCAATCTAACTTAACGCAATTTTATACAATAACTTAAATATCTTACTTCGGCACTTGGTTCGTAAACTGATGAAGACTCGATATCCTTCTGGAAAATCGCCTAAATAATATTTTAAATAATTCTTATTAAAAATTATTGACTAAAGATTATTTTAAAAAATGAGAGAGATCCTATTGTACTCGTTCTTCGGTAAATATACAATGTAACTTTTTGGAAAATACGTCCCCTGGATTAACGTCTTTCCACTGAAATGAAAATATTTATTTATTTTTACATGAACACATGCAAACAAGCAAATATTTTTGCAAATTATAAAACGTTTTGGTGGATTTTTTTAAAATTCATTCTACTGCGCAATGTACTTTTTTTAAACTCCGCGCTGTGGGAACTAAAAAGTATCTTTTTAGCCAGCCCATTATGGGTTTGGCCAGGGTCGTATTGGGACAGCAGGGTAGTGAGGGCCCTATATATCCGGACGGACCAACTCCCGAAAAATTCCTGAAATTTATTGACCCGTCTAGATTTGTTTCCTAATCTCCTAGAGCGTATGCTGCCATCCTAACCATTCCAGCCGTTTTTGCGTGTGCTGAAGGATCTTTGTTCCATCTTCCTGATGAGTTGTACACGATCCTCTGTCTCGCCACAGGACTCAACATAGTTCGAACTTTAAGTCTCCCTAGAGTAGCGGGTCGGTGCCTTTACTACTAATTATGTTTTACAGAGATTATTTGTTGCAAAATTGATTTTCTAGCAGATATCAAAATGGAGAATGTATTTATTTTAGAACCCTGGGGACCGGATTCAGATCCAAGCAAATAACTACTGTACTGAGAAATTTTTATAGGTGATCTGCCCCGGATATATCAAATCCAGTACTTCCTCAATTTCAGCCTGGATGGGTATAGAAAATATACCTCTTAATGCCCTTAAGATAGAGTTAACAAGAAAAAAATTAAGAATATTTGAGAAACTGGACTTTACAACAAGTTAAATACCTTAAAGGTTAAAAGCATTTGAATTAATTTCGTGTTTTTAATGTTAAATATGGATTCATCAATTGTAACATCATTAAATAATTAAAAATATTTTACAACCAGCACTTTTACAGATAATGGAAATAGATTTCCATTATCTGTAAAATGCCATTTATGTGTGATACAGTAGAACCTCGAAAACTCGGTTTAATGTGGACCGAAGGGTGGCCGAGTTTGTGAAAATGCCGGGTTATCGGGAATGGGGTTAAAAAAGGATAAGTATGTGTGTTTCCTCAGAAAATAGTGTACTGTATTTGTATGTATTGTTTGCTGGAGAATACAACACAGAATAAACTGCCCAAATACCCTTAAACAAAGGAAAAGTATGTACTTTATGAAGGCATAGAGCTTTACTACATGAAAATGAAAATTAATGAATACACTGTACAGTAACTTACCTGATAAGACAGACCTCAGAAAAATACTTTGAGGCATAAAGCTGTCTTTATCATGAAAGTTAATTAACTAAGGATTTTTTTGCCCTGCCAGGGTGTGGCGGAGTTATCCGGAGTGCCGAGTTTTCGAGGTTCTACTGTATTATATAGAGTACAGTGCAGTTGTTTGTATGGACTAATTTTTTCTAAGGTCTTATCCATCGAAATCGCTTAATTTAATGTAATTTTTTAAAAATTAGTTTAAAAAAATACCTCTTTGGTTTATAATTTCCAAAAAACTCGATAAAATAAGTAATAATTACCAGTGACAAAGGATCACATTCGCTATCTGCCACATCCACCACTTGTACCAAAAATTTTTGCTTGTTCAAAAATTCGTTCACTTGATTGGGTAGTAGAGAAACTATACAGAAAAAAAACAAATTCGAATAAGTATCGATGTTTTATTCTTCTCTTCCTGTCTTTATAAACAATTGGAAACTTAAGAATAATTGTTTAATGATTTTCAACCGTCAACGTGGAAGATGAGGAAAGAAAATTAAAATTGCAGAAAATTCGGAGAAGTATGTACAGTAAAATCTCGATTCAACGGACTAATTCGGGCGAGGGTCCTTTTTTTTATAGCTTGTAAAACAAAATGGCATTATACCATTTTCTAGGCATTTTGAATTGACATCGTTGTTAAAAGTATGGATGCAGACAATTGAATAGTTTGTTTGGCATTATTTTAACAAAAACGTTTAGAAATTAACTAGCGGCAGCGCAGTAAGAAAGATGACTATTAAAAAAGTAATATTCCGTATATTTCAGGCAATAAGGGGATTTGTAATTTTAATTATGAAAACGATAATAGAGAAAACTCTAAACCCGAAAAGGAATGTTGGGGGAAAAAAGGTCGAGTAAATCGAATAGTCAGAAATTATTTACAGTAATAGAAAACAAAGTAGTAAACTAGCAACGAGTTGCTCTACTTTCCCGGCAACAATTAAAATGTTGGTGGCGCCATCTTATTTTATTAAAAAAAAACATTTTATATTTTTAATTATTATAAAATAGCAAAGAACTTAATTTTCAAGGTAAGAATGGGCTTTATAAAAAAAAATGTAAATGTGAAAAACGAGTAAAAATCGTCATTAAGTCCGACGCTAGTGGAGTCTAAACACCAAAATTTAATAGCAACAATTCCCCAAATAAATAAACCTCCTTGCAAAATTTCAGAAATTTTCTGCAAAAAGCACAGGATTTATTAAAGTTCAAAGAGAGTGACCGAAATCACGCTCCCCCCACACTAATGATATCCATACATAGAGAAATTACCCGAATTTTTTGCATTTATCGACGTTTCAAGGTTTCTTAAGTCCAAAAATGTAAAAATCTTTGGGGTCGGCATACTTTCCCTTATTTTATTTTAATAAAATTAATAAATTTGGAATCTAAATCGTTGACAATGATATTTTAATATATATTATAATTACTTTGGACGGTTCGAAATTCTTCGGGTCGAATGATTCCACAGCGTGGTTTAACCCGGTATTTACTCGGCTCTAGTGTTTTTATTTTGAAACATTTGGTATTTTTAGTCATGTTGAATAACTTCAATTGCGAAGTCGACGTCTCTTCGAAAGGACCTTAGACGAAAAATTTCGTCAGTGCCAAATCGCCATTATTAAATTTATTATAAAATACCCGACTTACCATGGAAAATTAATTCGGAAGACGGAGTGATAATGAATTCTTCGATGATCGATTCTTCGAATTCTTGAATGGTATAGTCGGAATGAAACGAAGAAACTTCTTCTAAATCTGAATCCATTTTTAACAATGCAATTTAGATTCTATTGTCGAAAAAATCGATAATTGATCTTAAAACAATCGTAAACAATAAAAGTAATTTATTATAGAGATAATAAGAATCAAGTCTGTAAAATCCAGAACAAACAAGTATAGTCCTTCCAGTGTAATATGGCAGTTATCCAACCAGACTAAACCACGTTTAAGCCATTCCACACTGGTGCCATTTCAGCCGAACATAATTTTATATCATTAAAACAACGATTTTATTTCACAAATTAAACTGATCCCGTCCAATGTAAATGTATTTAAACTGAAAGTAATGCTGGAAAATTCTAAAAATGTGGTTTGAAAGTTTAATCTTCATAGAACTTCTCTATTCCTTTTGTATCAGATTCCTCGCAATCTATTTCTGATTGTATGAGACTTAATAAATTTTCTAATATATTCAAATAGATGGTTAGATGGCCGAGAGGTTAAGATGTCTCAGTTCGAAAACAGAAATTTTTTGGGGTGGTCCATCCGGATGTGTTGGACTCAAAAATATAACATTAATTCTGTTTGTTCACCAACCCCATGTTATCATTCATGTTGCTGCTGCTGCAAGTTGCATCGTTTTACATTTGAAAATATGTTAATTAATATCAGTTTTTTTCTGTTTTTCATTTGTTTAGCATAAAAACGACTTATCCATTGTCATTTACACTTTTCACAAAAATTCGTAAAGTTTGATCCTCACTTTCCATTCCATGGAAGGTTCAAAAGATCAAACTTCAGGTTCCAACTCTCAAAAGACTTGGAAATTTGATTGATTTAATCTCAGCACAAAATCAGTCAGCAATTCAAAAATGATATTAACTTAAATTTAGTTTAAGTGTAATTTTACTTCTGACATTTCAAATGAATAATGTATGTCAAATTTTCGAAAAATCTACTTTCTTAAAATTTTAAACAGAAATAAGAACCATTTCAATTTTTTAGAATGAGTCTTTCCTTATGTTAGAACTTTGTATATTAATATAAAGTTCTAAAATAATACTATACTGTACAATTATATGCCTCATATACTAATTCCAAAAAGTATTTGTTTCTTAATATTTAATAAAATGTTAATTTATTTAGTTAAAACAGAACTGCATGGTACTGAAAATTGTTCTGGTTTGGCAGGTTTTTCTTAACGTAGAAAATCGCTTCGTTCTGAATAATTTTTCCCATTCAGATGGATTCTGCATTACAGGTTTTATTGTAATGTATTCTGTAACAAATTCCATCATCATATATATATATATATTACTTAAAACATGAGGTAGATTTAGTGAATATAGTTAGCAACATTGCTAAAGAATAATAATGTAGCATACAAGGTTAAGACTAATAACAATAAAGAGTATACAGTAATGCAGCCTTTATAAAATGGCATTGCCAGTATCAAATTGCACCGCAACTGAACAGTGAGCTGTTTGATTTTTGATGGCCAAAGGCATTCCACTTCTAAATTGGTGAGATCCATCATGGGTTTTATGCACAATATAGAGAGTTGGGCACATTATTGCAAAAAGTTTAAGTGGATTTGAAAGTTCAAGGAAGATCGAACAGACAAAGAGCTGCGTAGACTTTTGAGCCCGAGCTTGGTGTAGCAACATTTACGACTCACATTGTGCATACATTCTGCAACAAATCTCACTGGGACCAATGCTTTTGACTATCAAAAATTATTCAATTCTGGTGCAGTTTGATATAGGCATCTGTGCCAGGTATGTAAAAGATACCTGGCACATTGGTACTGTATATGACTGTGTACTATGTTAATGTTCTTTAACAATGCTACTAACCTTATTTACTGAATCTGCCTCATATATTATGATTTCTATTTATGTAAAGATATTTTAGGCTTTGGAATAATTACAAAACTTATTCTGAAAATAAACAGTAAGTCTGAACTTATTGTTTTCTCAAAGACAAAAGTAAGTTTGTTAAGATAAAAAAAAATTGTAGCAAAACTATTTGCTAATTATAATCAGAATATATTGGTTAATTTGTTGTAATTCTTATTAGACAAAAGTTGTATTGATTCATAATTAATGACAATTTTTAATTTTTCTATAAATTTTTATATTAAAAAGACTCAATTAACATCACTCCAGAGGATAAAAAAATTATATCATAGTTGACATCAATCATAGCACCTTGAATGGCAAAATACAATCTGTTTTACATAACCTTAGATCATTAATATGAAATGTTTTTTAGATATAAAAATATAATTAAATAAATCTTAATTTATTTTGATTGAAGCAAAATATTATTCCAAAGAAATAAACAAAATGGATTTCAAAACTTCTAATATGAACATATCAATATTAAATCATTTTAGACTTGTTTTAAGTATGGCAGATCAGTCGTTCATTATGAATATACTGTGTATTGGAAACTTAAATATTCTTGCTAATCACGTATACGTTTCACTTACATGGTTATGTTAAAATCTATGTCCCCACAACAAATATATGTGACTCTCATATCCAATATACAAATGTAAGACTGGTTAGAATAAATGGATAAGGAAGGAAATGTCAATAGAAAAACTTCATTGGGGGAATTAATAAACTTACAACTTTCTGACAGTCTCATAGAAGATATTTTTTACTCATGCTCAATCAAAAATTAGAAATTCCTTAGAATCTTTTATCTGATTAAACTAAGAATAAGAAATATCTTGTACAAGATTGTAAATAAAGAAATCTAGCATTAACTAATCCAATACAATAGCTTCATTTTTTAATAATTGGTAGTGTGGGCAATATATAAAATGGAGGATGATAAATTCTGGACATATTATTTTTGTTACATTTATCAGAAATAAAGGTGGGAAGAATTGGAAAAGCAGAAATGCTTACAAGCTTAGCCAATAATTTTAACAAGGAACGTTCAATTATTGTTTTCTCGTTTATTAATTATCTGTTTATGGAAAACCCTATCACTCAGAAATAATAATGCTATCTTATGATGTGCAGTTTTTCTTGTTTTCTGTTGTAAAATCAGTGTATAGACTAATTGACTTGTCCATTAAACAGTATAAAGAAGTATAACAAAATAAACTTTTAACTATATTATTTACTTTGAAAGTCTAAGATTACAGTAAACAGATTATATTTTCACAATGATATATACAAGTAATAAGTACTTCTGGCAAAATTCAGAAAACTGAACAGAATAAAATTAGGAATAATCTTGCAATTATTAACAATTAAATTATTATCAAAAAGAAATAAAATGACATAAGCTGCAATGTTTAGTGTCAATTTGCATATTTATTGTCAAAAAATGAAATAAATGATTTGATTGAGAACTTCTGCTCATTATATATATATAATTTATAACAAAATACAATTAAATTAGATGTTGTGTAAAATCTAAACTTTGTAATCATTATATGTTATTCTTTATTGATAAAAAAAAAATTCAATAATGTAAAATAATAAAACCAATATATTCTTGTTAATTTATATTGTACATTGATTGATGAGATATTTACAGAGATATCATGAAAAAATCAGTCCAGATTTAAAAATGTATGGTAATCAAATCTACGATCTGATTACCGCTTGGAATGAAATGACTAACTGCAAATCTGGAATTTTTAAGAATAAACTCACTTGATCATATATTCACATATCTAATACATTCATTAAAATACTGATTTATAATAATCTCAAATACCTTAAAAAGTAAAGCTGATCTATGATGGTGTCTGTTTTATACAGCAGCCACAACCTGCAAACATTATTATGTACATGCACTGCGAGTCCCACGGGGACTATTAGCAATGGTCAACAAGGCACCAGCCATTACTCGCCTTTATATAATATTTTATTTATATCGAGCGAGCCAATCTTGTCTGTACAGAAAAAATTATGGTGTTTAATAAAATAAAACACCAAAACGAGCATTTTTTATAGCTAAATATGATAGATACATCTTTTAAAATCAAATTTGGATGCATAGATATTTCTCATTAGAGATGATATTACATGGAATTCTGCAAAACAAAATCTAAATGATTTAATAGAAAAAAAATGCATTTAAACTTTGAAAAATGTACTTAGCTTACAAAAAAATTTTGAAATTATTTGTGTGCTTCAGTGCATTGCCTTTAATTTTCAGCTGGGCTTTCAATATTGCATTTTTGCAATCGTGAAAATAGCTGGAATGCTTTGGAATTTGTGACATTTCCAGCTTTACAACCTCTGATGACTCAGTTACCTTACTTCAGTTATGATATGTTTCCTATTTTGAATAAAAACAAAATTAGAGAGTTGTTGAGTGAATTGTTAATGATGATGGTGATGCCTATTCTTGCCATCATAATTATTTTCACAAGCTACTGATATTCTTAGTTGTCAAAACTCCTCCACGAAACTTGCTGGGAACAATCCAGTCTTTCCAGTACGCTGCAATGTGCCTTTATACCATCCGTCTTCTCGCTTCTTGTGAACGTAAACTACGTCTCCTACTTTAAGCTCCAATTCATATTCACTATTTGGTGGATAAGGCACAATGCAACGGAATCTGGGAAAAAATATAAACACACTGAATATTTAAAAAATATACTGATGTACATTATTTAATAAAAATCAAATATTGTGTAAGCATACTTAATTATCACATTGTTAACATAATAATAATAGATACACAATGACTATTAATGCTACATTTGAGACTCCATAACAAATTTTAATAAGCTAATCAAATTAAAGTTTTACATATTGTAAATAATCAAAAATTGACTTTCTTAAGATAATGCATGTGTACTTTTGTATTTGATAATTTATAATTTTCCAAATTGCATGAATTTGAACTAATGTTTACTTCATTCAACATAAATATGATAAATATTCAGTTCTTAAATATGAACTTTTTAAAAGTACAGTGTAACACTGATAGAACATTTTTTGAGAACGAATTTCTCATCATTACATCAAAAGCAAGCTGTAGAACTATATCTATGGCTTGATAAGGAAACTAAGTTCAGCTTTCAAATTGAAATAGTGATAAAACATTTGGATACGATTAATTAAACATCAATCCTTCTCCAAATGTTTTATCGACATTAAAGACTGACTTCTTTAAAGATATTGCATGTTGAATAAAGCAAACATTTCAAGTAGATTCATATGTAAATGGAATTAAATTTATATAAGAGATTAATCACTTATATAAATTTAATTCCATTTACATAAGTCCTTTGCTGATACTGCAATTATTGCCAAGTTTAACAAATATAAATTGTACTATAACCAGAATACACTCAACCTGACACTAAAACATGCAGGACCTGTTGCTTATATATGAAATGCTACATTTACTTTTAAAATCAGTTTAGGAAATTTCCTTATGATTATGTATTTTATAAAATCCTTAAAGCCTATATGAATAATTCTTGAAAGAATTTTAACTATAGTGAAGTTAAAATAGTTAGAATTGAGAAACTGTTGCAAATTATTCAAAGATATCCCATATTTTTGGTTGTAAAAGGTTGATATATGTTAATCATTTATTTCTAAAAACTACAATTGAGTGATATATTTACCTTTCCCTAACTAACGGTAAAGGTTGTCGCAATCTAGAAGATTTTGAAATTTCAGACACATTATCCACTTTCTTTTGATTAGTTGATGGACCTATGAGAGCTTCACTGGGACATGACCCTGACCTGAAATAGTGAATAAAATTTGTAAAAAATGTGGGTATTTTAATTACTTTAATAATTTAAATAATAATAGAATATGAGAAATAATATAGAAACAAAAAAGTAATGTTCATTTGTTTACATGGACCTTGTTTATAAATAGGATTATTATACAAGTTTAGTTTCTGATTAGTAAAGAGAGGAAGTCAAAACAAAATACAGTAAGACCCTGATTAATGCTGATTCGATATAACATGATCTGCTTGAAGCCTTAAAAAACTCCAAATTTATGCTGATTCAAATTATTGTGGCATTTCATTGATTCATATATAATACAATTATTTACAAACACAAACCAATCAGCAAAAGGTGGCAATTTGTCGTAGCGCTGTACTTTCCTTAAATCTATGTTTGTTTTGTGCAATATTGGAAAAAATATATCATGGATGCCATAGGAAATAGTGACTTTGCTTGGCACGAATTAACTGATAAAATGCATGAATGGAGTATGGAAGAAGTTATGGCTGAAGGTATCCAAAAATTCTCAATGAGAAGAGCCTATCTCTGTATCGATTAGGTTGACCAAATGGTCAATCTAATCGATACATCAGAACTAGGAGATGTAAAAGGCAGGATATTGAAGAGTTACTGCAGGTTTCCAGTGAGAGCTTTATACCAACAACAACCTTCAAGAACTGGCAGAACAAGGAATTCATGTAGAACCCAAAGAACTTGCTACAGATTTCCTTAGTAAAAGCTTGGTAACGATAGCCGAAATCGTTCATTAAATTGTATCGAATGATCCAGATTTTGAAAGGAGTGCAAAAGCCAAATGAGGCATTTTGGATGGGATCTTCTGCTACCAACATTTGCTTAAGGAAAGGGTTAAAAAGTGACAAATGAAACTACACAACTTTATTGCAAAAAACAAGAATTTCAGAAAAGCCAGGACCTTCGTCACAAACATATGCACAAAGAAATGTAATTTAACATACTATTATGATGATATGAAACCGTGCTTTACAATTTGTTTATGCCTCTAACACAATAAAGTGGTATAAATTAAGACACTTGGCGGGTTTTCTCATCTTTATTTAGTTGATAAATTAATATTAAAAATATAAATTTTACTATAATTTTAAGTTAATTTTTGGTTGCATGCTCCTCTTTCCCTATTTACTGTGTTAAAATGACCTCATATTAAATGAGGTCATTTTAACACAGTAATGCTGTTTTGCTTAGTGCTTTGCTTAGTGCCCACGTTAAGCAGGGTATTACTGTATTTTTATTTTCACTTCCTCTCTCTGCTAATCAGAAACTAAACCAGTATAATAAGCCCTATTTATAAACAAGGTCCAAGTAGACAATATAGGAATGAAAAAGTAAAACATTAAAGATATAATGCTCATTTAATTCTTTTTACCTTTAATTTACCAAATAAAAATGAACTTTTAATCAATTTATTTTAGTAATTTTATAAATTTTTTACAATCCATAACTGAATTTGTAATAAGAATATTTTGTTAATTTATACAGGGATAGTTGTTTTATACAAATTCCATGCTCTTTATTTCTCAGATGCGATTTTCATTACTTCTTTAGATGCTTGAGACGTCTTGATATATTTTTCATAGCTAAGATTGTTTACTGTAGACCTGTTCAAGCCTTACTGCCTAGCAACATCAGACATCTGCACACTCTCTTGCTTGCTTTCTATGGTGAGCAGCATTGTTATTGACACTACTCTTTTTCTACTCTATAATATTATCAGTTTCATTTTAAATAAAAAGTTCAGAACAGAAATCAACTAGTACACAAAAAAATTTAAATTCAAGGCCCAGATGAAATTTGAAATTTGGTATTAAAATGCAAAACAAATATCCAATGGAACAGTTAAACTCTCGCTTTTCATAAATCAAAACTAATGCAAAACTTAATGAGTACCTGCCTGACAGTGTTGTGACAACTATAAAAAATTATTTGTCAGAAAGGTAAGCAAAAAGCTGGAATTACAAGGGAGAGTTTCAAAATTCAGAGGAATACTATCCAATCGGTATTGGGTTGAGCATCGATGTCGACATCTTCAGAGCTCAAAAGGTTTTGAATTGTCACCTGGAGACAAGAGAAGACCAATGGTTATTCACTATTTTACATCACTTCCTTTTCTGTTTGGTTAACAAATGCTTCACAGAACAATAACCCACTGTATTTGTAAACCACAAGGTTTACAATTACAATCCAGAACTAGCATTGATTTTCACACATGATGCTTTGTCATATGAATTAGGGGAAGTATTGTTGCATGAAAGACCACATGGAATAAGCACATCTAATGCTTCTGGTTCAAGAAGATAACATCCAAATAAGCACAATTATGCTCAAATATACAGGAAGGTCTACCATAATCTTACCATACCATAAAACAATAATGTTTGGGACCATCATATTACAATTGTGACTGTTGCCCAGTCTCTAGTAGGGCTACAGCAAAACAGTAAGGCAATTCCAAAGAGCAATTCTTGATGACAGCAGCTTAGTATATACACAGGGTAAAAAGTACCAAAATGCAGACACCTGCAGTTGACTTTGATATAAGAAGCTTTTCCAGAACCAGTAGATTTGCTACTGCTGAGTAACAGATTTGAGGAAATACTAACAATAATCAAGTTAGCCAAAGCTACTAAAAAAGACAACACAGTCACACATTATAAAAGCAGTATTCCCTGGATCATTAGAGGATCTGGCTGAGTCAGATTTATTACTTTATCAGATGGCAATTCTTGAGATATGTTCAAAGGAAGAAATAGTTGGTCAGCAATTCTTCAAAATAAAGAAAATGATGGAACCACTGGAAGTGATGTCCTAAGAATAACAATCTAGTAACCAATTATGCATAAAATCAAAGAGAAGGATCAAACACATTTCATCATTCATCCTGGACAAGAGTAATGTCTAGGAAGTTACTATCAAGTCCCAATATCCTCACCCCTTTTTTGGAAGTGAATACTATTCCTGGAAAAAAAACAATGGAAAGTGTTGTGACACTGAGAAAAAAAGAAAAAGTGCAAAGATGGACTTTCAGCAGGAAGAGAGAAGAGGAAGAATGAAGGATGAGAACTGGTGTATCTCTTTGCAGAATAGCTTGCAGTCCTAAAGTATAAGCATTTTGTAGTGGTTCAACCTACATTGTTATTATATGTTAGATATGTTTACAAAGATCCATTTGCATCATCTGACTTAATAAACAAACTAGGACCATAGCTGTGGCAGCTGTGGTCCTAGTTTGTTTAAAGTTACATTTGTACTAGTCACAAAACTCCATTTGACTTAATAATCAAAGCAGTCTGAGATGTTCTGGCATGGTTTTCATAAAAAGTGAGTTCACTGTGCTTGAAATGTAATACTCAACAAGATATGTATTACTATTTATTTTGAATCTGATAATAATTTATTACAGTAGACTTTGTACTTTGATTTTTTTTTCATTTGTTTTAAATCAAATTGAAAAAGAAAAAATCTGGCTCAAAAGCCATGAACTGCAAAAATATTATTTTCATTTTAGAATATTGCAAAAATTTAATTAGACAAAATTTTAGCATAAAATTAAATCATGTTTTAGTCAGCAATCACTTACCTGACATGAATGGCAGTTAATGAATCATTTGTGGCTATGCTATCAACAAATGATGGATTGTCACAAGAATAATTTGATGGTGGAGGTGATTTAGATTTCCGTTTGCTTGTAAGACGCTTCATTAAGCTAACCTTTTCTTTCTCTTTTCTTTCTTTGTGCTAAATCAACGATTATATTTAATTAACTTGTTGATAATTATGATAAAACTTACTTTTAAATTTGACTTACTTTCTCATTTTTAAATTGTATTCCAGAACCAGAAGGTGTAACAGAAATGGATGAAGTAGTGTTTCCAACAGATACATTGGGAGGTGTTAGTGCTATGGTAGTAGACAATATAGAACCACTTCTTAAGGAAGGACCCCCATGCCAAGATTGAGTAATATTACTATTATTGCTTATTGATGTCACTGATTGAGTTGTAACTTTTGAATTACTTCCCGGAGCTGGATATGATGCTGCCATTGTAGGAAGAACAGACGGCTGTAATTCTCCTTCTGAAGTAAGTGATACATTTATGTTTTGCCAGTTAGTAGACCAATTTCCATCAGAGACTAATCTTCCTTGAGAACAAACATTTGAATTCAATTTTGGAGATGCCTGAATAAAATAAAATATATTTATAAACTTTACAATAAAAATCTAAACAATGATACCAAAGTAAAACTTAAATGAGTGCATGAATAATAAATATATTGAGCCAAACAAAAAGTCTAGCATTTTTGGAAATAAAACTCAATATTGAAATATAATTTTAGATAACTGGCTATAACTGATTAAACCAAATTTTGAATGACCTTTATTGGATCAACATTGCCTCTGCCTATTTGCAAAATGTTGGACATGAAATATAAAATTTGAAAAAGCAATTGTGTATCTGGAAAATATTTCCTTGCATTGAAGACATCACTGGATTTGAACAATTCATAGCATATTCTGCATTTGAAAGAATTGTGAAGAAATAATGTAATCTTTTCAAGATGTAATTCTGGCTTTTATAGATGCTTCCTTGGCAACTCCAATGCCATTTCTATTCACATTGTTTTAGAGTACATTTTTCATCTCTAGTCACAAATCTATCAAAAACCAGATCATTGTTGTACAGGGTGGAGCAGAAAAGACAGACGTTTTTGAAATGGCTACAACTCACCACCAAGTGAAGTGACAGATGTGTGGCAGATAGCATGAAAGTAGTGAGATCTTAGCATTGTCTTTTCAATTGAAGGCATGCAGCCATGGATGATAGCAATGGCGTAGCGAACATAACTGGCACTCGAGGCACGACAGGTGCCTCGAGTGCCCCCTCCCCCTCAAGAAACAAATCTTGTTTGTCTTGGAGATCATTTGGTACCCCTCTGAGAGTGGTGCCCAAGGCATAATAGGCCCCCTTGCCATGCTAGTGGGTCTTCTTTCCATATTCCTTGATATCTCTGTCTTCTCCTTCCCAGCTCTTCTCCTCGAATGACGATTTTTCCCCTTTCCTCTTGCGCCAGTCCCCTTTGACCAATCCGGTGTCACTCCTTATTCTCTAGTGACCCATTGGACCATTGGGTCAACCAATTACGGTGAGGTCAACAGAACAAAGGCCGGAAGTGAAATTTATGAAGGGAAAATGGTGGAAGAAAGAGAAAAAGAGAGGAAAAAAAACAAGGCTCAACAAGCCACACACTGACAATTAGATAGCAAATCAAGTAGCTTCAATAAAGCTTGCTTGCTTGGGAGTATTTAAATCAGAATCACAAATCACATGTAAACAAAATAAACAGCTGCACAAGAAGTGTCGAATTTGAACAAGTTAGTGCACCACCTGCATGCACCACTCATTCCCTCAACACATAAGTCGCGGACAAGATTGTTTGATTTGAATTGGTTTATTTTGATTTTTAAATTTAATAATTGGTGATTTTGCACGTCATACTTGCCCCACCCTAGCTACACCTCTGGATGATAAAACATTGGGTGTTTGCATATGACTGAGGAAACTGAGCAATACACTTTCCATATAACTGTCATATACTGTACATCTAATGAGAATATGTTTACATTTCTGCATCCTTGCATACAATGGAAACATATTCCCATCAGACGTGTGTGGTTTCAACAGGATGGGGCAACAGCCAACACAGCTAGAGTATCAATTGACGTCATTTGTTGTCTTTCCCTGGTTACCTCATTTCCAGGTTTGGTGACATTCACTGGTCACCTTGTTCAACCAATCTATCCATGTGAGATTATTTCTTATGGTGACAGTATAAGCAGTAATGCACATGAAGATACCTAGTTCAATAAATCTTTTTTTGATAGTGGGTACAGTATTCATAATTTATATTCAGGGTTCCTAATCAAATTTTTGTTTTAAATTCCATGACTTTCCCTGATCCTCACATCCCTTACAGTTCAGCACATTGACAAAATAAAACAGCATATGACTTACTATGCAAATATGCTATTGTATTTAATAGTTACATAATTAAAAACTCAGTTTCCACAGCCATAAAATGTTTAAAAATAAATCTATTTTAATTTAATAAATTTTAATTATTATGTGGCTTTGAAAAAAATAAAAAGCCATTACATTATTTATTATTCATTTGTTAATGAATAATAAATACTTTTGTAAATACTTTATATTTTGTAGATTTTCATCTGATGGCTATTATTATAGTTAAATATCTAGAGTCTGTCCAAATAGGGACCACCATTTATTAACTTTGTGTTCCAGACTGCACATTCTTGGTGACTGTGTTTTTAAAAAGACTTTTTAGCTTTTTGGTGGCCAGTAGCCTAAAAAGAAAGGTTGAGCTGTTGTGTGATGCACCACATACCTAGTGATTTCATGACATCATGTGGGAAGTTCAGACAGGAAAATAGGAAGTGATATTGAGAACAGAAGCAGTTTTCATGCAATGCTGCCCAGTATTTCCAGATTGGGAATTTTATTATTAACTGACAGAAAATTTGAGAAATTTTTGGGGTGACTTTTTTTTCACTTTACAAAAACAAAAAATTTTGACATGACAGAACATATTAATCAGAATTATTCATTAAAACATTATTAAAAATTAATCCTATTTTTAAGTGACAGCTTAACATGCTACTTTTCCATACAAACTGATAAAACTACTGGCACCTGCATTAGTAAGTAAAACTGGCAAAATGAGTGGAAAATTTTTAAAAAATTGTCAACCCTGTATTTTTTTTATGGCGGTTGCAACATTATTACTAAAAATTCAAAAAATAATTATTATGTCACATGTTATGTTTGCTACATTTCTTCAGAGACAAGTCAAACAAACAAAAGATAATTTACAATTTTAAGTCTAATGATCTTGTGACTTCTGTTATTTAAGTAAATATAGTGAAACCTTAATTTAATGGACTAATTAGAACAGGGGTGTCTGCATAAACTTTTGGATTTATATCCAAAAGTTCATTATATAATAAAGTAGGTTTCTGAAATGTCTTATTGTGCTTCCTAGAGTTAGTAGACAACAAGTGAAAATGGCAATACTGACAGAAAAGATGTTTTGCATTCTGCAGTTCACAAAGTTGGAATCAGTGTGCAACATAAGTAATCTATCTGTGTTAGCTGTAGCTAGAGTAGGAAGAATTTGAGTTCAATTGGATGTATGTCATATGATAAGAGGTGCACACATTGAGAAATTGTAATGAGCAAATGTGAAACTTGGACCATTTTCTGTTGTTTTTAATGTGCATTACAAGGATCTCAAATAATTGGCATAATTGCTACCATTTTAAATTATTGTATTCATTTTGGAAGACACTATTTATTTAGCTAATATTGAAAAAGCAGAGAGTTGAATGAAACTTATATGAAAAATTAGTTTACTTACTTGTGATCGCTGATTTATTGGAGAAGAAGTATTTGAAAGAGGTTGAGATCTAGATGACTTCTGAGTTGATGATATGGGAACAGATAAACCAGACCAATCAAAAGTACCCACTAAAGCTGCACTCCACCCATCCTGTGTATTTACAGACTTAGTATGAGCATAAATAGAGGGAGAACTGCTTAGCTGATGACCCGAGATGCAAGTGCTCACATTATTAATTCCTACAATTTGTTTAAGTCCTGTTTGCAGTTGAACTGTATTGATGCCAGAAGATGGTTTTGGATGGGATGGTGTCGACACCATTATCTGTTGTGGCGGTCCAAGATTTGCAGGCTTAGAAATTGTAGATCGAACACCACTAACAGAAGTAACTTGATATTGAGGTTGAAGTACTGGCGATCTAACATAAATAATTAAATATTATAAAAATTATAATATATAACTAATTCTACAGATTTAAATAATGTAAATTTATACATACTTTGTTACATGTACATAATTTCCAGGAAAGACACCACTACATTTTGTACGCAGTGAGGTTCCTTTAAACCAACCATCTTGACATTTTTCACTGACAGTATACAAATCTCCTTTCTTCAATTCTAATTCATCTTCTTTCTGTGGCCTATAATTATAAAGAGCTGTGTAGCTGTAAAGAACAATAAATGTTAATCTTATATATAAAATAAATAATTTTTGAAAAGCTAATATTGTACATTATTTACATAAATTTTGTTATAAAAAAAAAAATAGTTTTCTAATCAGAATAAAATGCAATAATAAATCTTGATATAAATTAGAGATAGAGTTGAATGATATTCTTTGTGCTGAAGTTTGCAAGTTAAATAAATTAATTTATTTTGTAGGATAGAAAAATATATATTAACATTCATTAGAAGTATATAGCCCACTAATGAATCAAAGCAATTGTAAATTATCAGGCCGTTTGTAATTTTAATGTGTATCGTTAAAGGTTTTTTGGCTAGCATATATATATTATTATAAACTAAACATATGTATATATTATTTTATCTATAAGATAACAGAAGTTGAGTGTTTATAATTATATATATAACACACAGGGTGTCTCAGTTAAACGTTTCAGAACTTCTAAGAGGGGGTAGGGTGTGCATACTGGGGGGTCAGAAACGCTTTCCTGACACAGTAGATGGCATTGCGCAAAAATTCCAAGCATTCTTGAAGGGAATCAAGAATTTGTGGATTGGACGTGGTGGTCCCATTGGCATGCTCGGTCACCAGACCTATCATGTCTTGATTTTTATTTCTGGGGGCATATGAAAACACTGGTTTATGACACCCCAATTGACTGCTGAGGAGCTGGTTGCAAGAATTGCAGTAGCTGCCAGAGAAATTCGAGGTGAGCCTGGATTATTCCAGAATGTTCGGAATTCCATGTGCCGTAGATGTGAGGTCTGCACTGCAGTCAGTGGAAGAAACTTCAAACATATTCTTTGACCCATGTTTTGTTTTTGTACATTTATTATTAAAATGAATATTCTCTTACAGTCTTCTTCTTTTATGATGTTTCTGTGTACATCACCACTTCAGAAAAGCATTTCCAACCCTGCATTGCTATATGATTCCGAGTCGTCAGGATGCACCCTACCCCTCTTAAAGTTCTGAAACATTTAACTGAGACACTCCCTGTGTGTATGTATATACAGTAGAACCTCGATTATCCGGACTAATTGGGGATGAAGGTAGTCCGGATAAGGAAAAATCCGGATAATCGAAACAAATACTTTAATTTGTCTTTTAATGATAATACAACACGTTTTCTTTTCGATGACATATCGGTAATATTAAAAGTAAGTACTGTATTTAAATCGTGATTAAATTTTCAAGAAACAAATGTTCGTATTGAATTTGGACTACTACTGACCAACGCTAACAGACTACCTATTGTTTAAAAGGCCCTCTGGTGGCGCAAGAAGACGGATTTTATAAAATAAAAAGCAGTTGAAACTGCATTCTTATGAATAAAAATTTGACAAACTATTTATCGATTTACGACAAGTAAAATTTTTTTGTCGCGTTTGCGACTTTTAAGTAATGCATAAACCTTCAAAATGCGAGGCCCTTCGGACCACGAAACATAGACGGTGACCCACGTTGCCCATGCCTTACGTCGCCCTTGGTCATAGAAACGATGTAATTTGATAATAAATTATTTATAAATACATATGTCAAGTTATATTTTTATTACGACGCAAAATATATTTAAAAGTTTACGGCCACTGTGCTGGGTGAGACGTTGTTGAAACAAAAAAAGTTGTGCATTCCATCACGTACATAAACATTATCGTAATTCGCCAAGTGCAAATCAGCAAATTCGTAAAATTTTTGTTTATTTTGAACAATCCGGATAATGGAGGTTCTACTGTATATATATGATAGCTAAAAAATTAACAACACAGAGATTAAAATTGCAAAGCAACCTGATAATTTATAGTTGCTTTGATTTATATCAGCCATAACTGGAAATTATCTTTAAGCTATTATTGGAAATAATTAGGAGAATTTCAAACTCTCAAATATTTCATTTCTGATTTATTTTTCATGTTCTTAGGTTTTAGGTCTGTTTAGCTAAAATCATTATTATAATAAATAGAAATCTCTTTTATTATTGTGTGGGACCACCTAAGTAAGATCACATTATCCTTTTTCCTTCTTGAAAACAACATTTAAAATCTCAGTATTGACTCTTCAATTTGCAACCTCTTTTCCAATTGGGTGGCAAATTAAATTCAAATTTTCTTTTGAGCATCTATACAAAAAATTAGAAGCAATCATCAAAACTAATGGAATAAATTCCTTCTTGGAAATGCAAAGATACTAGCCCTTTATAACTCTTAGCTGTTGAGAAGAAAAACTCAGGGATATATAATGCAAAATATAGACCAACACACATACCTACAGAAAATAAAACACCGTAATTTGTTGCTGAGAAATATAATTGAAAAACTAACGTTTTCAGCCTGATTAACAGGCCATCATCAGGTCTAAAAAACTCTTAGTCTTAGGAGTAAGACTAAAAGAGCATTGTTATAACGTAAAAAAAGGATCCAATGCTACAGTTTTGTCGCAAATGTCTCAAGTCCAAGATTCGGTGGTGAAATGGGATGAGGCAACAATTATAAAACCTGTATCTTCCCCCACTTTATCAATGACGGCAGAGAAGATTGAAATATATAGGAGTAGGCTATGTGAGGGATGTTTAAATGCGAGAGATGCCTGTCGTCAGCGTGGAAGTACATGATTAAAAAGTTCACTGAAAACTCAAGCTAGAATTAGTTTATTGAAAGATTTATTATATTTTTTATTTTTTAGTTTATTTTGTGTTATTTTTATATATTCTTCCACTTCTCTTGTATATTTTTAAAAATTTTTGTTCTAAATTTTGATTTAAATATTTGTATTCTATACATGGAACGTATCTGTTCCATTTTCATTTTTTAGACCTGACGATGGCCTATTAATCAGGCTGAAAGCATTAGTTTTTCAATTATATTTCTCAGCAACAAATTAAAGTGTTTTATTTTCTGTGTTTACTTGCTGAGCACTTTTATTGTTATACATACCTACATTCATAGTTTTATTCCCTTTTGTGGTGTTTTTGGAATCAAGACTTTAAAAATAAAAAAATTGTTTAATGTTTTAGAGGATCAAAATTTTACCAATTACAATACATTTCCTGTTACTTTTACAGCTGGGAAAGTAATAAATCAAAGCAGCATACAACAGTGTGATCTGGTACAAAGCATATATCAATCAAGGTCTGCAATGATCACATTGCATGCAAAAAAAACAAAAAATATCCAGTAATCCAGCATCATTATGGACCAGTAATGAACTTCTACCGTAATTTGACAACTATAAAAATTAAATTTATCAAAACTGAAATTTAGAATTATATTCTCATTCATTCAATCTCTCAGATGCACCAATAAATGAAAATATCATTACAAGTTAAAATTATTGTGTTTTTTTTAGTAAGACCTTTAAAAGTCAATAATTATTGTCATCTGTACAATGCACCCCTGCAAGAAAAGTGACACAATGAAATTTGAAAAATTTTGACTTTAGAATATGATTATCTTATCAGATAAGATATGTCAGTCTTCAATCAGTAGTAGTGACACAATTTGAATTCAAATACTTTTTGCACATTATTTGATTGTCACGTATGAATATTTTTATATCATTATTATTTTTATCACTTTCTTATGAAAACTATTTTATTTTGTACCATGAATGCAATTTTTTAAAATCTGAATACCATTTTTAAAACTTAGAGAGAATTAATAGCAATAAGTTTCAAAATTTGGTAATTCCATATTTTTGGTAATTATACTTGCATTTATATTTATCGTGTAATAAGCATTGTTTTGTTCCTTTAAATTTAAATAATTTATTCATATTATGTATAAAATTTTTTATGTACTCTTCAAATTTCATTTAAAATCAGACTAATTTTTTGTATAATAAATTTTGTTTCAAAAGAGAACGTAGTGATATAGACTAAGGTATTTATTACAGGCTTCATCATTAATTGCATTCATAATTAAAATTAGAAATAAATTTTTAAAATTACCCAATTGTTTCCTCTATAATGCTTCCTAAATATTACTTTTTTTAAAATTTAAATCTTTTTTTTCCAATAACACATTTTGCTCTAAATATAACAAATTCTTGTAATTTATTGACAACTGTACTTGATATAATATTTTATAAAATGGACTAAACTTTTAATTATTATTATTAGGTTCTTGTTAAACTAAAACATTAAAATTCTGATGATTATAAAAAAAAAGTTCTTATGCTATGGTTATGTAATGTTCTATGTAATTCATAACTTAAAAATTACATCTAAAAAGGAATTTTAAAATTGCTTTAAAACTTTGAAATGAATTGATAGAATCAAGAAATCAATTAAATTTCAAATTAACTAGGATTAACTTTTTAAGAATAAAGTAATGAAGATTCTTCAACTATTGTATATAGTTTCTATTAAATTCTGTTTAATGTTTTATAAAAACTTAAGACAATTTTTTCTGGAAAACATAATTACAATTATGATTATTATCTGACTGAATTACAATTTTAAAAATAATTTTAACTTAATACTTAGAAAAATACTTTGAAATATCATCATTATAAATTTGTAACTTTACATAACTTACAAAACTGGAATTGCAGCATGACTAGTAGTTTGTGTTACACTATTGCTAGCAACAGTTGTGCACTGTTCCACATTATTTCCTTGTGGAGTGTCTTTCTCTTTTCTACTACTGTGACGGCGTACTATTTGTGTTCCACTTGATTCGCCTCTCTATAATAAATAAAAATAGTTGGTGAGTAGACACTTATCAAGTATTGATATAATTAACTTAACTATAAAAAAGTAAATAGTAAGAGTTCAGTAACACACCTTTTTAACTCTATTTTTTCTTTTTATAATGAAGTTTAAAATTTATAATTGATAAAATACAAAATAAATGTAATAAGGATCATTACTTTAAATTTTTTTTATTATAAAGTATTTTCTTTAATAATACTTACTTGAGTAGGAGATGGAGTAGTTGAATTTCCTGTGGAACAAGGTGTCTGGTTTGATAACAATGAAGAAAGAGATACAGGTGGAGTATTGACATCTACACCACTGAGAATTTCCATAGAATGGCGATGAACTCCAGGCATTTGTGGAGATCTCTGAGGAACCGAAAGTGCACTGAATGAATGTCTCTTTTCTCTACATTGTTTAGTTTGTTGGAGTGTATCTCTTACAAATGTATGGCATACAGAAGATACTGCATGACTGGTTACTGTAGATTGTGGACTTGATATCACTGCAGTCACTTGAGTTGTAATTGGAACGGCAGAAGGAAATGATGATGATGATGATGACGACGAAGATGACGATGACGATGGACTTGGACTGGTTGATGAAGAGGCTGGAGACGGACTAGTTGTAGTACTTGATAAAGAATCATTTGAAATCGGAACAGTTATTGAACCTATAAATTGTAAATAATATAAAATTAAGGCCATATTAAAACTAAAAGCCAACCAATGCCTTATGTTATGGAGCTAGATATCTAGCCCGATAACACAAGGCATTGGTTGGCTTTTAGTTTATAATGTATCGGGTTGTAATGTTGTTGTTGTTTGGCTATATTAAAAATTGAAATTAACTGAATTATTTTATATGAAACAAAGGAAAATATAAAACATATGTACATCATTCTTTATTTTCCTGTGGAAGTCTCCTCGAGATCTTCCCCAAATCATCAACAATAAATTATAAAAGATGAAGTGTAAGGGCGTGACACAACTTTAATTCCATTGATGCTAACATTCGTTAAAGAAAGATTACTAACTAGTATGTAAATAAGGTCAAGTGGGCATAATCATGTAATGTCACCACTTAACTACACTATAAAAAGCTGAAGTTCAAGATTGAATGAGATGCAGCTAAGAATCAACTGAGGTAAAAGTAAGGCTTTCAAGTTCAAGAAACTTCTGTGTTGTCAATGATAATGGTTAGACGAAACTAGTTTGGAAGATTTCCTTGTGAATTTTTGATAGATTTCAATTTCGTATTTTTGCTTTTTGGTTTTGTGGAGATGGGGACTTTTACATTAACTTATAACTAAGTGTAGGAAAAAGTTGTGTGTGTATATGTATACATTGGGTTGAACCAAAAATTTGTTCGGGTATTTACATAATCACTCATCTGTGGCATCTTTGTCGTGCTTATCAAGTTTTAACTTATTTAGGTTGACATTACAAATATTTGCACATTTATTATATAAGTTTAATTATAGCTATTTTTAAAATTTTGTTATTTTTCAAGAAAAAAAAAAACATTAAAATGGAAGATGAGATGTCGAAAATGCACCTTATTATGCTCTATTATTTCCATAAAGGGAAAAATGCAACAAAAACTCAAAAGAAGTTATGTGCTGTATATGGGGAGGATGCAATTACTGATCAAACATGCCAGAAATGGTTTTCAAAATTCAGGGAGAGAGATTTTTCTCTCAAAGATGCACCTCAGTCAGGATGGCCTTCAACCGTAGAAGATGAGTCCATAACGGCTTTAATTCAAAATGATCGGCATAAAACAACATGCGAGATAGCTGACATCTTAAAAATATCCCAAACATCTGTTGTCAGACATTTGGCTAGCCTTGGATACACTTCCCATTATGATGTTTGGGTTCCCCATGAATTAAGTGGAATGAAATGAAACCTTGAACAATTGAATGAAACCTTATTGAACATGTTTCTGTATGTAATTCACTTTTAAAATGCAATGAAGATGATCCCTTTTTAAAGCGATTAATAACAGGTGATGAAAAATGGATAATTTATAACAATATTCAACTCAAGAGATCTTGAAGTAAGCCAGTGCTGCAACCTAAAGCTGATTTGCATCCCAGAAAAGTAATGATTTCAGTTTGGTGGGACTGGAACGGGGTTCTTTATTACAAACTTTACCCAACAACCAAACAATTAATTTCAATAAATATTGTCTCTAACTAGATGAATTAAAGGCTGCAGTGCATCAAAAACATCTGGAAGTTGCAAATCGATGGGGAGTGGTATTCCATCATGATAATGCAAGACCGCACATATCGTTAAACGTATGCCAAAAACTTCTAGACTTTGCAGGGTAACTCAAAACATCCCAGTTATTGCTCCCTCAGACTATCATCTCTTTCATTCATTTAAATTATTCTGCAATCTTTAGAAGGTATCAAAAATCACATCGATAATAGTCTTCAATCAGAAACCCATCCAATTCTACACAGATGGAATTATAAAACTACCCATCAGGTGGCATAAGGTTATCAAACAGGAAGGTGAATACATAGTGGATTAAAACTTTTTATTTATTTCAAAATATTGGGTTGTTTGGAAAGTAATTTCGTTATTTTTTACCACTAGATGGATTAGTCGTATTTTTCCCACCATTTTCATTATATATTTTGATAGCTAGCATTTTAAGTCTTTTTTGTAAAAAATTTTTGTTTGATTTCATGCAATTGTTTATTTTTTGTGTCCCATCAAATATGGAAGATTGAAAGTAGCATTTTTGGTATATTTTGCTCTTTTATTACCGAAAAGGTAAGAATGCTGTTCAAGTGAGAAAAAAAATTGTGTGACGTGTATGGAGAAGATGTATTGACAGAATGACAGTACCAAAACTGGTTTACAAAATTTCGTTCTGGCAATTTCAATATTGAAGATGCACCACGTTCTGGATGGCCAGTTGATACTGATGAACACAAAATAAAGGTGCCGATTGAAGCAAACTGCCAAATAGCAACACGTGAGATCACTAAGAGATTAAATTTGTCAAATTGAACTGTTTATGATTACTTGAAACAAATTGGTTTCGTTTCAAAGCTTGATATATGGGTTCCACATGTTCTTAAAGAGAGATGCTCTCTTTGGTGGAATTTTAAGGAATTTTTTTCTTTTTCTGGAGCTTTTACCAGACAATTTTACAATTGATTCAAAAGTGTACTGCCATCTAATAAACAAATTGAGTAATATCATCAAACAGAAAAGGCAGTCAGAATTGATCAACAAAACAGGTGTAGTGTTTTACCATGATAATGTCAAATTTCACAAAAGTTTAATCACTGGTCAGAAACTGTTATAACTTAGATGGGACGTGCTATCACACCAGCCATATTCACCAGATCGAGCACACTCAGATTATTACTTGTTCCGGTCTATACAAATTTTTTTTAATTGTAAGAGATTTACTTGAAATGACAATGTCAAAAATCACTTGGATCAGTTTTTTGTAAGCAACGATCAAAACTTTTATGAATGTGAAATCATGCTACTACCAGAAACGATGACAACAGGTATTTGACCAAAATGGT